TTAAAATCCAAACATTGGTAACTTGTCTAACAAATGATGATCTGATGTGTGACTTAACTTTTTGAGATTATAGGTGAAGCTTGCTATCTATTATCCTTTTCGTTCAATATAATTGTTTTAGCATATCAATTTACTAAAATGAAGTTATGTTTTAGTTTATGCTTGCAATAGTAAATACCTGCACTAATGTAATAACTTGTAATGTTTTAATGTTAGTGTACTATTTTCAAGGGATTGAGTCTCATGTGTTCATTTTTTATCATTAAGTTGGGTTTGAACATAAGAGATAATATTTTGTCTAGATTGAGTTTTTACTTCATTTCTATTGAGTTTTCATAGTGCTTGGGAGATTAAAGATTGAATTCACTAGTAATTTGTAAAAGAAAGACAATATTTAAATTATGAATAAAGGATTGACGGAGGGTGGAAGAATTTTGTTATTAATATATACGAGAAGAAAAGATGCTTGGAACATAACATTCTATATGGAATAAAATTACACATTATATTATGAAAATTTAGGGTATTGTAAGTGAACAGATGTACCATATGAAATTTGTATTCTCGAAAAATTAGATGGGTCTTTTGCTCAGAACATCAAACTTAAATGTTATATGCATTATTATGGATTATGGAACATGTGTGTTTTGGCAAATAGCCTTGCATATGAAATTTATTGTATCATAAAAGATTATAATATAAGCTTCAAAGATATAATATTATGGATTTAAAGAAAAAGAAAAGGCTATTAGTAGAGTTAAGATTTAAGACCTATGTTCGGCTGATTTGCAATTATAACGGATGCATTTATTTGGCATATTGAATATTGTGGTGTATACATCTTGTTGATACATTAGCACCTTAATCAAGATTTAATACCTATGTTCGGCAACACCTTGGAAAAAAATAACTTACTTTACATGATTAGAACTAGCAGCTTAACTAGCACACTGTGTTCCTTTTCGGTGAAAAAAAATTCCTGGTGCATCAACATAAACATTCACCATGTTACTTGATCTTCACTATGCACAATTAATATATTGGTTTTTTTTTTTTATTGTGGGAGTAGATTTAAAATAATATCTAGCCTCCTTTAACTTGAATTAAAGGAATTAAATTATATTCAACAAGCCTATGATACAATTCCTAGAGACTTTATATGCAGTCAATTGTGTGTTTTCACCTCTAATTTGTATATGCATTTATATATTTTATTGGTCAGTCCTTGATGTTACAATAAAGTTGCCCCTTCGCAACCTAATTTATGTCATGAAAATAACATCTTTGCTTGCAAGGTTGTTACGTACATTGATTTCTCCCAAGCCCCACACTGGTAGTAGCATCATGCATCTTTACTATTTATGTGAATGATTGTTATGATTTTTACAAATAGCATAATTGACAAACATAATTTGTACAATTATATAAAGGATAAACAATAAAAAGAGAATTTATATGTATTAGTAATCATGTATGTATTCTGTCATTGTATTGTCCTACTGGGCTTTCTCTGTGTTCCATGATCTGTTGTATTCTTATCCATGCTCCTCGAGAGTTAGATACAATCAAATGAAGAGATTGTTTAAATTTGATTTGTTAGGATGACTGGTGTATTATTCTTAATTTTCATCACAATTCTTTAAATTTCAAATTTTTTTTATAGTCATAGATTGTCTAATTTGGACAAAGTATAAAATTAGTACAATGAAAGAAGTTGTACAAATTATTGTCATGTTCATACATTGTATGGTCTTGTTTGATAATTCTTTTTTTATAACAATGTTAAATGATAATTACAAATACTTATACAATATATAAAATTATATATTATACAATTATAATTCTTTAAGTTGTATAATATATAAAATCGTAACACAGAATATATATGTATTAACTTCTACATTCGTTACATGCCCTCTAGTTTTAGAAGACTTGCCAAGTGTCCATAATTTGTTATATCCATGTCCTTACTTCAGAGTTATCGACAATGATTAAATAAATAGATTGTTTAAATTCTCTTGCTAGGTTGTCTGGTGTGTCATTCTTAATTTTTGACACACTAATTTTCAGCTGTTTGTTCTCTTGTTTCTCAGTCAAACCTTATTCTGCAGTGCTTATCTCTCAATCCATCTTTTTAGAAGCCTAGCTCGACATTTCCAGCTTCTAGAGTAAGAACAGATTTAATTAAAGGATCTCATGCTTAGTCCAAACTTTAGTGCAAAAAATTTATGTAACATATAGGAGGAAACAAGCTTTATGTTTATTGGTGGAACTCGGTTTCCAGCGCAAACCTTATGTTGCCAAGGCTATGTGTTTATCCTATTATATATGTTCAAGTTTAGTCAGGCAAAGATAGGTAATTCAAAGAGCTTGTTTTTTAGAATAATCGCATATTTACTTTTTCCTCCAGACTACCCCAAAGCTAGTCTCTGCTATGAAAGGAGGTCGTGCTCAGGAGGGGAAGCCACTAAAGTCAAAGTTGAGTGTCAAATGGTCACCGGAAGTGTATGACCCACCTGCTACATCTGAATCACACACAGTGAAAGGTCACATCCGACGTCTCAAGACCTTAAAGAAGGATCATCACAAGCAAAAACATGGCAAAAGCAAGTCCTACAAGGGCAGCGGTGCTGACAGGAAACATGTTTCTCGAAAGAGCACCAGCACGATGATCGATTCCAGGATATTGAGGTTGTCTTCCAAGTGAACCATAATTCTCAATCTGTTGCTTTTCTCATAGGATACTATCGACATGGATGAATACTTAGCACTGATTCATATTCCATCATTTTTTTCAGGTTGGAAGCACTTCGTGCCAGAGCTGCACTAAACAGTCCTTGCCAATCAAAGGTGGAGGTAATGGACTTTTCAGGTGTTACTGGAGAACTGAAATGTGGAAACAGCTATTGTAACAAGTCTCTCGCTGCCTTGCACCTTCCCGTCGCCCGAGCCATCGAAGAAAAATTGATGAATGGAGCAACCTCAAGTCGATTATGTGAAAAACCTATTTCCGGAGTGCTTTGTTAATTTTGCACATGCATCATTATGCATAGGGCTCCGACATATATTTGGCTGTTGTGCTTGTGTTTCCTTCAAAACTGAATTATCTGTGTAATTGCTGTCTTTGTTGGTCTGTTTCTACCGTGTTATAATTGAACTGACTGTTTGTTCATTGCTGCTACTTGCCTGGTCAGTGCAAAAAAAACAGAAATTGGAACTTCTTCATTCTGGATTGTGTATCTGATGCATAAGCGCATGTCTTTTTAGATCTACTGTTATCTTTGATCAATAATTGTTGGGATGGATATTATGCGAACTGTACTTTTTGACATGGAAGATGTAAAAATATATTTAAGTTATAAAAAGAATCAGTTGCCTTCTCTTTCTATGGATTGTATCCAAAGAATCAGTTTGATCAGAATTTATATGTAATATTGAAGTTTAATTCGAGATTGGTGGGATAAGTCATGGCGTAGTTATAAAAAATTTCTATTGGAATTTTTATGGTTATGAAAGTAAAATATCTAGTTTCATTTATCGTCGTTAGTTTTATTGACGGAAGTATAAAAATAATACGTAAAAAGATAATTTTAATATTGACGGAAGCAAAAAAATAATACGTAAAACGATAATTTTAACATTCTAGTTATGTTTTCAATGGTGGTGGACGATGACGTCGTTCGGGATCGTGGTTGGCTGTTGTTAATGAGAAAGGAGAGCGACAATGATAGGTGAGGTAACAACGTAGATGTTGATACTTTGCATCCCTTATTGTGATGCACGTCTACACATCTCAATAACGTTTTCAGTGGTGATGGACGATTGTGTCGTTGGGGATCGCAGATGATCGTTGTGGATGAGGAGGGAGAGTATCGATGACGTAGATGCTAATGCTTTGCATATGCATTGATGTCACTCACAACTGTGTTAGCGTTGACGCAAATGTAGAGTGACAAAAGGGCCGCTCAGCATCTACATTGGCATCGATGCAAATGCAGAGTGACGTCGATGTAGATGCAGAGCAGTCCTTTCGTCGCTCTATGTCTGTGTCGGCACTGACAACAATGCAAGGAAGGGTGACACCGCTCTACATCTGCATTAGTACTAATGCAAATGTCGAGTGGCCCTTTTGGTGCTCTACATCTGCTTCGGCACCGACAATGATGTGGAGAAGGGCAGCGCTGCTCTGCATCTACGTTAGCACTAATATAGATGTCGAGCGATTCTTTCACAGTTCTGCATCTGCGTCAACACCAACGTAGTTGTCGAGTAACTCTTTCATCGCTCTGTATTTGCATCGACACCACTAAGCAATTGTGTCAATACCGAAGCAAATACAAAGCGTTAGTATCTATGTCGTCACCTCACCTCTCGTCATTGTTCTCCCTCCTTATCCACAACAACTACTCGCGACCCCTAGTTGGTCCGTTGTCCGTCACTAGTAAAAATTATCTTTCTATCCATTGTTTTCGTACTCCCGTCAATAAAATTGATGATGCTAAGATAAATAGAACTAGATGTTTAACTTTTTAATATAAATTTTTTAAATCTAGAGATCATGATGCTAAAGAAATCTAACTAGATAAGATAATCTATAATTAGCCGGCAGCAAAACCTTACACATTTCAAAGACAATGTTACAGTTTAGCAACGGTAAATGCTACTGATATCATTAGATCATCCATCATGCTCAATATTTCATCATATCCAAAATTACTTCGGTCGGGTGGCGAAGCTATTGTAAATATTAACTTCGTTGAGCCTAAATCCGATCATTAGAATAACATTGGATTAAATCAGGATGTTATAGAATGCCTTCATACAGCGAAATAGCAAATTGGCCTACGCATTCAACCACGCACAATAGTATCAGTGAGTGCTCCAAACTTTGGGTTTTCGACGTCAACACGCAACTCGACCACCATAACGGACATGTAAAGCATCCTGAATTAACAGTTGCTTTCTGCAAACAACATAGCAACACTGTTGCATACATACGATTATTGATAATGTTGCAACAAGTTGAAGCCTCATATTAAAAAGAATCTACATGACTTGGACGATAAGCCATGATTTCACAACAGTCTACTGAGTCAAAGAATGACCAAATATGAGAGACGACGACAGGATAGGCCGAAACTGCCTCTTATCAGATTGAATCTTTGATGCAATCAAAACCACCAATGCTTCAAACTTACAGTGACCTACGCGCTCCTAATGAGCAGAGCCTCCCACCAAAGCTAATACAGGACACAATCATAACCCACAAAAAGAATATGAACTGCAGAACACTAAATTTAGAACGACCATCCCTCGCGCAAGTGAACATGTGAAATTGATGACCCAGTTAAGCAAATTCACTTGAAGCAACTGGGTAATGTAGTTGTGTTGCTAGAACTCACGCGAATGGATTCCCACCAACAGATGCACCAGGGCCTTGGGGAGGGAACTTGCTGTGGATATCAATAAATTTGATTGTAACACAAGATATTGCATCAATAATTCATAATATAAGCAATTAAAGCAACTTACGGAAAATGAGAACTTGGTCCTTGCCCGGACATGTATTGCAACCCTCCTAAATATGAAGACAATGGAATTAGAAAGACATCGAGACCCACTACAGAACAGCCACTAAAACTTTACCTTCAGGGAGAGAAGAAATATATGTTGCAGCCGCATTCTGAGAATTCCAGGGTTGAGCTACACCAGCAAGGTAATCATTGATCAACTGTGTGCTTGGTAATGCAGTTTCTAAGGAGCTCATATCCAAGAACTGCAAATGATGTTTAATCATCAACATGGACAGTCAATTAGGGCTTAACTTCTAATATACAATGCAATTGCGGTCTGAGGCTCAAATAAATAAGGGCAATGACTGTCTGCTGCCACGAAAATAATATAATAACTTGAAGAAGAAAACAGATACAACACATTTGTTGCAACACAATAGTGCATGTAACACGTTCAAATGTGAAAGTTGGTTCTGTAAAATAAACCCCATCGAAGTGCACCAATGTAAGCTCCATCGCCCTTTTCTATTTGAAAGCATAGATGCATAAATATTAAATTGTTAGCATCAAAGTCCTAAGAGAAAAAAAGAAAAATCTGAAACCATATATACACCAACCGAGTCAACAATCAGAGAAACTTTTGGTAATTATTGAATGCAAGTCATCATCCTAAAATTGCCCAAAAAACTCATGACTTCTCTTCTTACGTATTCATGACGATATAATTTATCTAACTGGTTTTCTGGACAGCTTCCACCTAATACCTTCATGATTACTTCAGTCGATATTTAATAGATAGTTATTGGCAATCAACGTCTCTGCAGTAATCAAAGCCTTTAACTAGTTGATGAAAAAGCACAATCAAACATGAAGCCAGAAGGCGGAAAAACTGTAGATGACAGTATAAGTCTATTTCAATATGTTTAGGCTTAAGATGATTGGCTTTAGAAAAGAGTTATCTCCCACAACAGTTGCTCCTATTGATTTCACTGTCACAAAAAAGTGCATGCCTCTTAGGATTTTCTTGTGTACATGTTTCCTCAAAAAAGGAAAAAAAAAGGCCCAAAATAAAATGTCTGCCCTGTCAACCTGTTATCAGTCATCTCCACCAAGGATTTCAATATGGATTCAATACCAGTCTCTGTAACCTATTAAACCGATAAATACTACTATATTGGGTGGTATAATATTCCACCCAGTATCAATAGAAAAAATAATAATGAATAAGAATGTACCAGTATCAAATCACATGTTTAGATATCAGTATTTGGTTGGACTGCTAAATACCAGATGATATCAACCACTTTGATCAAGATTTGTAACCACAATCCCAATATTAGGAAATTCTACTGGAGATGATTTCCCCTAACATGGAAATACTGGATCTCATGTGAACATACTGCGATTAAAGTTAATTATGGCACATACTGTGATTAGCCGAAATTAAGATATTTCATATTTTTTTATAATAAAAATTCTAGGTTTTCACAAAACACCACATTTTATTTGCTCCATTGTGTAGCAGTTAAACCATGGTAAACAAGCTGGTGTCCAGGACATCATGATGCTTAAAGTTAATTATGGCACATACTGCGATTAGCCGAAATTAAGATATTTCATATTTTTTTTATAATAAAAATTCTAGGTTTTCACAAAACACCACATTTTATTTGCTCCATTGTGTAGCAGTTAAACCATGGTAAACAAGCTGGTGTCCAGGACATCATGATGCTTGTGCCATGGACGTATAGCTAGGAATTTTATGTGTTGAGTACTTTAATAGTAAATACAAATATTTTTGGCATCCAAGTAGGATCAATGCTCTTCAGATTGCACAAACATATTAATAGAGACAAGTACATACATCAAAACTTTCGATGTTAATATCTAAGAAAACTAAGAAACTGCAGCATACCGCATTCATGGGTTCCAAGTGTGCATCATATGGAAGATCAAAAGGATTTGTTGATTTTTGTGGTTGATCAACCCCTCCCTGTTAAGCAAGACAGAGTCATTTTATCAGGTTAAGTAATCATTGTACGTAAATTTACTAAGCAAGGACTTGCTGTCAAAGAATAAATTTGCTTTGGTCATGTATCTAGCATATTGCATATCTATATGTGTCGTTTAACGTTGGAACATTCTAAGATTTGATGTTCAACTCAATTATTACTAGATTCAATTAGATTCAACTTAAACTCAGTTCAAACAGATTTCAAATTTAACCTAAATCGTGAAATCATTCTAAAATTGGGAATTTCTCTAGTGAACCCAAAAGACTCTCTCTCTCCCTCAGAATTCTCTGGTGCTCCATCAAATATAAGCAAACCTGGAGGTGTTGATCCATCTGTCTGTGGCTTCTTCCTCGAGTATATTGAGGTGTGGAGATCATGAATTGAGCAACCAGTTACTAGATTTTAAAAAACTTCGGACTTAGATCTCATCTTTGAAATCAAAGGTAAGTGATCAATCCCTCTTATATTATCGATCTAATTTGATTTACAAATTTGGCTCCTGAACTGAGATCTTTTAATTGTTTTTATGTTTTTCGATTTTCATATCCTTTGACTGATCTCGCCAAAATCAGGGGACACCTTGCCAAAATTTGATCAAAATACCCCCTTGCTCTTTTGAAAGCTGCTGTGTCTTGGATGAATTTTGGCAGGAATCATGTAGAATTTGATGAGATGTGATTTAAATCAGATCTAATGAGCTTCGATCCAATATTCTCAAATTTTCTAGGATTTGTTTTTGGTGGATCATATGACCCTTTCAGGATTCCTATCTTGCGAATTTGCAAATATTAGGATAAGAAGTTTAGCAATATTGAGGTCTCAGATGCCTCTTAAACTCTAAAGGGTAGTTCCCAAGGTAGTTCTCATCAATGTAGGATAAAATATCAGCATATAAGGCAAGAGGGAGGTACCAACTAGGAATAACACGATACCAGCTCTGGTTGACATAAAAACGGAACATTCTTTCTGAATGGTGTATGCCAGGAGTAGGTAAGATACCTGAGTAGAATCTAAAGATTGTCAGAATTGAGCATGCTGCCTCAGTCACTCATTGTTGGATTTGGGACACTTATTTACACAAACAAGGCAATGCTAGACCTTGTTATAGGGTTTCCCTAAATTGATCAATTTAATGGTTTAATTTTGGATACCACCTTTGTTGTTGTTGTTCTTGTTTTAATACATAAAACAAACTATGATGCACTCTCAAAGAAATCCAATTATCTACTGCAGTAAAAAGCAAATGCATGGGTGATAACCAAATGGGTTTCACAAATTAACAGTATAAAAATAGTGGTTTGCAAATAAATGGTGATAGAAGTATGTTTTAAGCTAAATCATTAAGTAAGAAGAACAAGTAGATTCATCTCAAGTTATGAACTAGTATAGGATAAAAGGTTCTATGCAGTAGAACCTTAAGAGTTACGCAGCTTTGCAGCAAAATTCCCAACTCAATTATGTATAAGAACACATCAATAGCAGTAAGCATGAAGCATAAACGATGATGTTTTCACAATCCATCACAAGTGACTAATTAAAACTAAATAAGCTTAAAGAAGGCTTGAGGAACTACTGCAGACCGGCTTAACCAATAATGACAAAGGTGATCCTGCAACAACACCCACTGGCTGATCAAGACAAGGGTTTCCAGCATCCATAGCTGACCTTTGAAACCCATCCTTATCAAAATCCTGGAATTTGATCAGGTATACAAATCTTAGATGATGAGTGGCACATACCTAAATAGAAAATAGGGATCATGGTAGCACCTGCATTACTTTTAGAGCAACATTTGTATCATGCAATGCAAAGTCAGGCACATGAATCCATGATATACTATTCTGTGGTAGACCCCCAACTGATGCCTGAGGTACTTTCTTAGTTGAATCATCAAAGGTGTTCCACAACTGGAAAAAAAAAGAGGAAAAGGAAACAGCTATAGTGAGAATAACAAATTACAACAACAATAACAAGCTATAATATGCCAACTATTTGCATCAACTTCATGGTTCTTTTCCAACTGTTGAGCTCCGTACCGGAAATAGTTAAGATTCATGCTCATGAATTCTAATAGACCTAACACAACCATTCACCTCTTTTCATCCGAATAAGAATAACAAATCAAATATAATCTGAATAGCAAAATAACAAACTCAAGCCATTCGATCTTGAACTTATGATCAGATGCATTGATTGTGTTGTAATTATCTGATTACATGAGTTAGACTAGCAAGGAAAAAAAAGGCTTACTCTTCATTTGCAATACGTTACCAAGAAGTACTATTACCTGTGAGTTGTTTTGATCGGCAGATCTTGTGCGTTCTTGTAGATCTGAATGCAACTGGCCAGATGTAACTGTCATGGGTCCAGGAGCGAGAGGATTTTGAAATGGAAACCAACCTGAGTCGTTTTCTGGAGATACCCATCCACCCACCCTTTCCTTGGGTGCTCCACTACCAGAAAGCTCTACAGCAGAGATAACTGGACTCATTGCAGAATCAACTCCTACATGGTGAGGTAGGTCAAACGTAGCCCATCCATCATTTTGTGGGACTGGATCTGCTGCTGATCTGTGCTCGATAGGGATTGTAGATGAAGGTTGATTACTAAGGTCAGCAAACAAATCAACAGATGTAGATGAAGTGTTTGGCTTCTGTACAAATGTTGGACCGACTATATCCTTGTTCCCAGTATGAATAGAAGCAGGTGACTGAGCAGAAGAGAATGTAGATGTCTTTGCCTGCTGTGTACCACTTGAATGCACAGACTCCAAGACAACATCTACTACACCCAATGAATTAGGTTTGTGCTCAAAAGGGCTTAAAGATGAAGATTGGTTATTAAAATTGGCAAACAAATCTATGGATGGAGATGTACTCATTGGTTGTTGTACGAATGATGAATTCAATAGATCCTTGTTCCCAGTAACAATGGAAGCAGATGACTGTGTAGAAGAAAATATAGTTGCTTTTGCCTGCTGGATTCCACTTGAATGCACAGGCTCCAGAGCAATATCTACTGCATTCGCTGGACTAAATGATCTATGAGAAATAGAGCTGCTATCCAAGGAACCAAAGCTGCCAGCAGATGAGGTTCTCTGACCATATCAAGTACAAAATTGTCAGTTGTGAAAATTTATCCTTCGACATCCGCACAGGTCACTTATCAACATGATAATGACACAATATATAGAATCCGATATACACAGGGTAAGGATCACATACCTTAGGACATCGCATCCCATCTAAATTCCTTTTAGCATTTGTCTCAGTAAACTGATTCAATGTTTGTTGCTTTGCATCTTTATGTATGGCATCCCTTGACAGGTATAAAGAAGGGCTGCAACACCCATTATCTTGAGAACTTAGTGACTGGACATCATATTTGAATGTATCACCTGCACTAGAAATGGAGAAGTCTGACATTCTTGAACCAGAACTTTCATTCGCAAATCTGTCTTCATATGTTACATGACTTGAACTATATATGGAGCTACCCGTTTTCCCATCATAATGCCCTTGATTGGAACCTGGCTTTCTGTTTAACATGCCAAATTGTTTTCCATAGCGCCTGTCCTCATACTGATACTCATAAGGAGGGCTCTGAGAAAAAGAATGGTAAGAACTGGCTCTCCTCTGTTCTAATTCGTGATTCTTGGAGCTCTGTCCAATGCATAAATATAACAGTGTCAATGTCTAAGTGCATAAACATTAGTTAGATTTGAGGAGACACAGGAAAGAATAATTCTTCAATGCATGAAGACCAAATTACCTCAATGTCTCTAGATGGCTTGCCTGTGGAATTCCCCCTAGCATATTTCTTATTCACATAGACATCTTTTATAAATTCCCTAATTTTGTCAGCATTACTGCAACAAGAAAACACAAATCAAATAATAAGCAAATTTAACAGGAAATAGTTGAAAGTATTTTAAGTTAGAGAGCTCGACTAACAGATATATTCAAACCTGCTATCTGGAAATCTCATCCTCTGCATGTCCCAATCTTTTAAATAAATTTCTCTTGCAAGCTGTAACAAACCATTATTAACTAATGGCAAAACAGGCAATAAATCCACAAATATACAAGTCCCAAAAGCAGCTACTTTTTACCTGATTGCCACCCCTTTGGAGAGCCTCTACTTCTTGTGTGGTAAATCTTGCCAAAGAAACAGACTTCACACGGTGCGTAAACTCACGGCTGTATGGAAATAAATTTACATCAAAACTAGTGGTTATGACGTCATAGAACTGTAAAAGAACCATCTATACCTTACTATAAAAACATTCTTTTCAAGATGTTACAAGAATGCCAAAGTATATTAATAATACACCATGTCAGTAAATAAGTAAATGTCTGAGTAGCACGAACTACATATAAAGAATTACTTTGCACATCTACTGTATATTACTAATCTAGGCAAATGGCAAGCAAAATCTATTTGAATAATACAAAAAAGAGGCTCAGAAGCCACCATGGATGGAATCCTATAGTTGGGTATGCTTTAAATGAAGTGAAGACTGTAGGAAATCTAGAAGATGAAACCAAATTTATCAATTTAACTAGCTGGCATCTCTAATGGGAATACCAACCAGAACAATTTCCAAATCCCAAAACAATTCACCATTGACTAATGCTGAGAATTTATCATGTTCCAAACCTAAGTTTATCACCATATATAACACGTCATCTCGCAAGGTAGGGTGTAAGCATTGTAACGGACTGAGAAAGATAAATCTCATAAATAAAGATGCTGATGCTTTTCACCAGCAAGGAAGCATAGATTGATTTCATTAGGCATAAAAGGCGTAAGGCATGAGGACTTCAGAAGAAAGACGAATTGTTGAGCTGGCTGGCGTTTGTGGACCTAGGTCCTAACTAAACAAGGACTTCAATATAAAGAAAGATTGTTGAGCAAAACTTTTCTTTTGAAGTTTAGAGGTCTGACAAATTTTGGCATAAAAAACTTTCTAGAAGTGTCTTGATAGCTTAATAAAATAAGCAAACATATTACACACAGGATAAGACTCAGCACCAACATAATTTAAAATATAACTATGAGAATAACCTGCAAGCAGCAGCAAAGGAAAGTTCAAATTTAAAGTTAACAAAATAAGAAAAAAATAGATTCTACATAGAGATGGAGCAAAAGATTCTACTTTTACCTTGATAAGAGGATGGTTCACTATATTTCAATGGGATGCATAGTAGAGGTATGTGCAAGGCCAATGAGATGGTTAGAACTTCAGATCAGATCTAATTAAGGGCTGATCTGATAAAATCAACGAGTTTGATGGTTGATTAAAAGAAAATATGGTGATTGTGGTATGACTAAACAAGACTAAATTGTCATCAAAGAGGATAGAAGCAACAAAGAAATACAACTACTGTTTTTGAACCTCGACAGAGTAACTACAGGGATTATAAAAGAAAAGAGAATAGACTATAAAAAAGAGAAAAACAATAAAAAGGAAAGAAAGATACCTAACCATCAATCACAATTAGATTAATTATTCATCAATGGCATGAGCAATTACAACCAATTACATGGTCCATTATTTACCAACCACATGAAAGTAAAGCCTAAATACTGGAAGGCTTTACAGGAAAATAAAATTTGGTGCAAAACTTTACTTTTGGTCATAGAAAACTAATAATCCCACATAATTCACATGAAATCACCTCTAGATTCTTTGACGTCTACTTAATAGGTAAAGAACTTCCCTAAATCAAACTATGCCTTAGCACCAATCAATTCAAAATAGGACAATAGGAGCATCATAAAATAACCACTAAAAACAACGACAAAAATACACAAATTCAGATGTCAAATCAACAAGCTCCAAGACATGAGTTATAGGGAAATTGAATCATCGGACTGAACAAACAACCAACAGATTTGATGAACACATAAAGTAGTAAGTTAACAAGATCTGAAAAAATTGTCTCTAAAGAAGCATGCTTGGCTGAGCCAGTAGACTTGGTCTAGAGCATGTCTCAATGGATAAGCACTACTTGTAAGTGCTTCTCTGAGTCATTCATGGTTTTACTCATGAAACATAAGAAGGAAAGTTTCAAGGAGTAGTGGAACAGGAAAAAGGCATAGGTGAAAGCACATACAAATTTTAGGTTGTATGATGGAAATAATGATCTTATAATCTCCTTTTTTTTCAAGTACTCAAATTCATCTGTTTAATAATATTTCTTACACATGCAGAAGTTAAGGCTAGGAGATAAAGAAGCCACTGGGAGTTTCGATATATCTTAAACAAACAGGACACAAAATGGAATACGTGTTACAAAAATAGGACACGGAAAAATTCAATTGCTGAGAGCCTACAACAGCAGTCAAACCCAGTACTATCTATTCCAAGAGGTAAGTGCAAAGGAAGACAGGATAGCCTTCGTTTGTTTGCTAGACTTCCAAGAAAAAGAGAGACAATAAGTGTGCCTCTAAGACACCTATCATTTCAGGGTATAAGCTAAACAAGATAGGCTTTTTAACTCATCTTTTCTATTAATTTTCATTTTTCTGAAATGTCTAAACACCTTCTCTGCATGACAAATGCATCTTATGTGTCTCTATAGCTTTCAAAATCCAAAGTTGGATGTCAATGAATTTATACAGGAGCATGCAATTTGAGAGTGCCTGCATGAACATGGGCATACAAATGGCTGTACGCATTCCCCCACTAGGTCTAATATGCAGAACTATATGAAACTCTTTCATGATGTTCTAATCTTGAAATCTCTATAGTTGCACAAATATAGTCCATAACCTCTCACACAAATCAGCTTGACTAGTAGTGAATCTTATGTGATCCAGGAACCAGTCAATTTGACCAAAAAATTTCTGTCACAAACTACTTTAGATTGAATAGCGCGAACAGTCTTGAGCAAAGCCGCATAGATACAAGCTCGCATATTTATTTGCAAAAATTCATATTGCAAGCACAAGAAAACTAGTCAAGTTTCAAAAATATACCCATGACAACCGAGATATTCTGATGGACAGGGACAACAATGTGACCAAGAAAGATTAAATTTTTGGATCCAGGCTAACAAAACGATGTACAAGAACTCTTTAAAGCACCTTCCGATGGGTCATTATGGATAGAATAAAGAGTTCTAAGTTAATCATTTTCATGATTAAAGAGAATTAAGATAAAAGATATAAATTTTTTTCACCAAACCATCTGTAATCATGGTAGGTACAGAACTACCGATCGTTTGCAGCAAAAAAGGGAGTTTTGCAACTGTCGTAAAATATGTATGGACTTACTGAATCCCGCTGCACACGATACAAACGAAGGTCCAGAAATTTGTGCACACATATTGGGGACCCTGTGTCCAATAAGTAGAAAGGATCAAGGGCTTTAATCGACAAGATTTAGATGCAAGAAACAAAAGAGCCAAACATTACCAGGCTGTTACAGTTAATACATTTCCTGTTGGGCGGCAGTTTCATAAGACCTCTAATGATCTTCTCATTCCTCACCTCCTCCCTTTTACTACTCATTTTCAAGCAAATTCCAAAGAAAAATCAACTTGCAGCTTCAAAACCTAGACAAATTGACTCCCGTAGGGTGGCGCCAATTCGAGGATCTAAGGAAGGGGAACCAGAAGAGTCAGCCCCCCAAACGCAAATATAAACACCAAAGATGTCTCAGCGAGCAAGGAAAAGTCGGATCTCGGAATCCCTAGCTTCCTCGCGTCAACCAACCCGACCCGACCCGACCCGACCCACCAGCGATCGATCGGCAATCTACACTCGCCACTCCCACGCGATCTCCTCCGGCCCCGAAAAATCAGGATTCCTGCCGTAGGGTTGGATCGATGGCCAGGGAACGGGGGAAGAAGGCGACGAGACGGAGGGAGGGGTCGGAGCTGCTAATGTTTTATTTCTTTGGCTACGGACGGAAGGAGCAGCGCCTCGAAAAGGTCAGTAAATAAATACAACCCTTTTTTTTTTTTTGCCTCAGCGGTCCCTCCAAATTTGCCCCTTTTTTCCATTTTCATATATTTTCTTTAATTATTACGAATTATTTTAAGGTCCCTACACATTTTGCATATTAGTTTCTACTTCCTATTAATTTTAATAAAAGCTTCCACGATTCTTCATTATGCCTATTGAAGGAAGGTCTATAGTTGACGTCGATGATCTCATCGGTGGAGGAAGCCAAAGTTGAAGTAGGTCAAAATTGACCGAACCACTCTAAATCTCGGTTTGCATTTACTTTGAGCATCTTATTTTTACTGCAAACATCCTCAATAGCTTACTACCTTCTGTGTTTTTACGAACGTGCTTAAAAAGTTCGGTGCTTTCCGAATCGACGTTTAGACGCAATCAGTTTTATCGTACGAACATCGTATTTCAATCCCTCTGTTCGATTTTATCTGTTATCGATCCCTCATAAATTCTTCCTCGATATGCATTTTGATTCTATAAGTTTCGTTAATTGTAGTGAAGTCCTCATTCCAAGTTGACTACCCTTTTAAAATAGAATAAGAAGAAATGAAGGTAAAATAAGTTTTTTTTACCGTATTGTCGGGTCCTATTATAAACATAATAAAAATCTAATCATATTCATAATATATGTTAGATATGATCACATGTTCTAACAACGAATTAACGTTATATCGAAAAATTATCAAAACTCTTGGGACTCGATAAACAAGTCATTGATGTTATATTGCTTCCCTACGTCTCTTCTCCTATCACCATATATGTCGTGTATCTCATGGTTCAATATTTTATTAATGGTATTCGATAGTTAATAATTGGTTGGGTAAAGAAAACATTTACCCTATTGGTTGTATGGACTATGTTTGACCTTCGAAAGTTAACTCAAGCTCTTGTTAATATATATGTGGATGCTAAAGAACTTGATAAAAAGATTCTATATGCCTCTCGACCCTTTCTCTTATGGGGATTGGAGGGCTTCATAGAACGTTTGCCTAAACTATATATCCTCAGCTCTTAAACAAAAGTGTTCTTGAGGATGATAACAATATAGCATCTTCGTGGAGGATAATATAATGTCTTCATACAAAGAAATATTTTATTTATTTGTTAAAAAATAAATATTATATGTTGAAATTATGGAGGTGACAAACATAGACCAGATTACCTAACACATACATGTAATATTGAGTTTTACCTTGATCTTATTTTACAATTGGAGACTCATTGCAGTGAAATCTACATTGGACATTATCAAGTAGCTTTGTAGGAAATAGAATGATTTTATACATGTTAGATGGGGGCGCTTGGAGGTGTTTTAATGACTTGAAACACTCGAACGACGAAGGCTCAAGTATTTTTCAATTAGTCATAATTTTTTATGTTAACATAATGATGTCATGTTCTTATCATCTCCTTAAACTAACTCTTTATAATGTGAAGAACATGACAGGGGTTGATAGAAGATCATAATAGAGTAGTCGATCGGATTGAGGATCCACAATTAATCATAGATTTCAATAGCTAATCTGATTACATAATTTAAATGATTACTTAAAAATTTAAAATTTTATAAATATTTATCATCTCAATAAATAAAACTTATCTCAGTCATAACATATCTCTCAATTTTACAGGTGCATCGCATTGTAGTTTTAATATACGTTGCTGCTCGGAGTCTCTTAGCCTTGTATTTTCTCCGGTCGTACATCTACGATCACACGGTTGGCATCCATTTATCGTACACACAATCGAAAGGCCATCCACGCATCCGTCGCTACTGTGTTTGGTCCCACCACATAACGAACGGGATGGCGTTAACGTCTATGACTTCGTAAACCCATCCCCATCAGACACGTAATAAATTTGGCCCCATTAAACTGATGTTGCGAATCTCGCAAAGCGTCGTGGAAAATGAGGTTGCCCAACGAAGACTTTGTTTCGTTTTGAGCCGCAGGATTCTCATCGGACGGCGTGGAGGACTCCACCGTCCATGGCCCCTTCGTGCGAAGCAAACGATGTGCGGACCCGGAAATATGTCTGGAAACCAGCCTGGTTTACGACCCCGCGGCAACCCATGGCGGGCCCACGCTCTTCTCTCCGAATACAAATCAGCAGGTGCGTCGTGGGTCTTCACTCGTGGCACAAGTCGAAGGCGTACCAAGAAGCTTCTTTTAACGCAAGCTTATCGGCGTCGGGAATGAGATGGAAGCGCTGATGGAGGAGACCTGCTCGGCCGCCGTCGCCCGTTGGTTCTCTGACGCGTTGCCCAGCGACGGGGACGCCATCTCTCTCACTTCCTCTCCCGCCTCCATCGTCCCAGTCGCGGCGTCTCCCATGCCGCCTCGGCCGCTCGCCGACCACCCGGCCCTTCTCCGAGCCGGCAGTCCCCTGGGGAAGAGGAAGTCGCGCGCCTCGACGCGGAGGGCGTCGACGTTCATCAGCGTCGACCCGGCCGACTTCCGCCGGATGGTTCAGCAGGTGACCGGCTTCCGGCTCGACGCGGGCAGCGCAACCGGGCCGGTCCTTAGGCCGGAGCCATTCCGGCCCGGCGGAGGGCAACTGTACCCGGCCTTGGTGCCCACGCTCGACAGTTCGGCCTTCGCCGTCGGGTGGACCGGGCTGGCCGATCCGAAGGACATGAACCGCTCTAGAGTTGAACCGGTGATGGATGAGTTCGAGCCGTTCACCGGTTTTCCGACGCTCGAGTCGTGGGGTTCCTTTTAGAATGTTTTCTTTTTCTTTTTTTTGGGAAAAAATCGTTTTTGTTTGGCTCTTTTGTTATTTGTTTTTATTTTAATTAATAATAAATCTGCTATCCTTTTAATTAATTAATGATTTTAGTACCTATTGACATGTTAATTTCATACGATAAATCTTATTAATAAGAAACTCTTCATTCCCTTGAAGGACAATAATCTTTCCGACACATTAATAGATCGATGAGACGATTGCGTTTCGATCGTTGGCGAGAGCAAAGCAGAACATCGGCATAACTAAATGAACCACATGAGCATTTATTTTTTGTTTCTACCAAGCAAAACAATAATTTGAATTATTTATTTTATAATAATTTTAATAATTATGTCTGTGATCTATTTTCATTAGTCTAATCCAAAATTAATACATTTAATATAAATTATATATTATTAAATTATTTATAATAATTTAATTTAAAATTATAATGATATTATTAATATTTTGTGAGTTGAAATTTGATGATATATAATATAATTATATAAAAAATATAATATAATTAATTAGGTTCCGTTGAAATATGAGAAAATCTTCTAATATCTGATTGTAAATTCTCTGTTATCACTTATAAATAGATAGGACCTTAGACATAACCTCCTCAACTCTCTCCCCAAACCATCGTATGATAGGAAGAAAGAGAAAGGAAAGGATTACTGCTGATTGAGCCTTACAGATCAAACAGAAATATCTGATGACATCAAAAGGTAAGCATAGATCTATATATTTGATTTTAATCCTGAATTACCTTTATACTCGAGAATTGCTAAGCAGTCGCCGTCGACCTTGCTGCGAATCTGCGGCAAAGGCTGCGCTGGGCAGCGTGCGTGCCGCAGCGCAGCAGGCGGCAGCCGTACGCCGGCATCACAGTGCCCATGCGACCGCCGGCCGCACACGGCCAGAACCCGTCCATGCGACGGTCGGCCGCACGCAGGCAGACAGCCCAGCGGCGGCCGTGCGTGGGTAGGCCGTGCACAGGCGGCGGCCGCGCGCGGGCAGGAACCGCCGCAGCGGCCGCGCGTGGGCAGAGGCAGCCCCGCGGCGGCAGCGGCCGTGCGCGCCGTGCGCAGGCAGGAAAGGCCGCAGCTGCCGCGCGCAAGCAGCGGCGCACGCTGGAGCCGCCACAGCGGCCTCGCGCGAGCGGCGGCAGCGCCGCACGTGCAGGCGGCGGTGGCGGCGCAGGCAGATAAGGGGTTTTGGCATATTTACGGTTTTGCACTCGAGGCTAGGTTTTGTAAAATTACAGTTCTGCCCCCTTGCAAATTTTGTAACTCTGTTCTGTCAACGTATTTACAGTTTTGCTCACGGGTCTAATTTCTGCTAAATTACAGTTCTACTCTTCGTAAAGAGCATATTTCCGATTTATATCCTATCAAATATTTACAGTTTTATCATTATGAAATCGAGAAATTTAGTTTATATTCTTAATTATAAAATTCAAAAATATGATTTATTATAATTATGATTAAATTTAATCATGATTATATTTTTTGATCATTTGATTGAATTTAATTTTGGAAAAAAGGATCTACTCCTTGCAGATTGATAACAATCTTGGATTAAAGACGGTACGTTGCAGATTAAACAGAAATCTCTTAACAGATGACATCAAAAGGTATGTTAAACGAGATTTATATATTTGATTTCAATCCTGGCATAAAGGTTATTTTCACATTTTAATACAACATATTACAGATTTTTATGCTTACAATTATCCCTTGGTAACAACTGGGATGGTGAATCTTTCTTCTTTCTTCTTCCTTTCCTTTCCTTTGAAATGGACAATGCTTTCCTTCGGTAAGAGAACGATGAATCTTTCTTCTTCTTTCTTTTGGGTCGTCATGTTTAGAACTTGTAGTAGTCTTCGGGTTGGGATTGTTTGTTCAGTATTAGGTTTCTGTCTCGGCTGATTCAACCATAAAAAGGTGGTCTGGGTTTCTCTAAAGATTATTTAGCTTATTCGGTGGATCCATCTATTCTTAGCTGTGATAATGTGTTTGGTTCTTTGTGATGCCATTAATTTAGATCACTTTTTGCAGAGTTGGGTTTGAAGCTGCAACGGAAGTGTGCCATTTTTTTTTGATCAGCTTCATCTACTTTTTTTTTTCTTGTTTGCTTTCTGCTCGCAAAAAGAGAATAGTTCTTTATTCCTTCATCCTTTCCATTAAAATACATTGCATCAGCCTACTGTTATCTCAGTTTGTATTCACTAGATTACACTTCAGGACTTAATTTTCCTAGTTTGTATTCACTATATTACACTTCAGGACTTCTTTTTCCTGTTTACTGTAGACCTTCATTTTGTTCTTCGCTGATATGATTTGAACATTTACAAGCCATTTTCGGATTGTGGATCTGTGAATTGAATCGTAGACCAAATGGAGCAGATAAACTCACAACCATCTGAAGAAGATAGCTGTGGTGAATCGACGAACAAAGGAAATGAAGATTTGAAGAAGGGACCGTGGACGTCTGCTGAGGATGAGATTTTGGTGAATTATGTTGACAGATTTGGTGAGGGGAACTGGAATGCCGTTCAGAAGCACACAAAACTCCGTCGATGTGGCAAAAGCTGTCGTCTACGGTGGATTAATCATCTCAGGCCAAATTTAAAGAAAGGTGCTTTTACAGAAGATGAGGAGCAGCTGATCATTGCACTCCACTCTAAGATGGGAAACAGATGGGCTCAGATGGCTGCATTTGTAAGGCAGTCTCTCTCTCTCTCCCTCCTTGTGATATGACGTAGTGCTCGTATATGGTGCATGATAAGTAACCAATATACTGCCTTAATTTGCTTATGCATTAGTTGAGGGAAATGTTTTTGCTGAATGTTCTCATGATGGTTTCTTTTGGCTTGTGCTTAGAGCCTTAGATTAGTGCAATCCTACTTGTTTAGTTGGGCAGTTATGAAGCACTAACAATTGTTAAAAGAATACTTATGGCTGGAGATAATTTGATGTTTCAAAGACCATCAAAATTGCTACTCAACATTTAGTCTCCATGAATTTTCATGCTCAACATAAGGGAATACTATAGGAGGAAGAGAGGTGAGAGAAGGATGAGAAGAAGAGGAGGGTTGTTGACAGTCAACAGCCCAACTGTTGGCAGCCAACAGATGCTGACAGGCTGTCCAAATAAAAAAAAAGGAAAAACCTGTTTCTAACCTGATGAAATTGTTCTGTCCAAGCCTTAGTTCTGGACTGAACCAGTAAATACTGATAAGTATGTGCTGGGTATGATTGGTCTTTTGAACCTTGCTTGTCATATCCATCCGTATGTAGTAGGTCTCGACATGATCTCCACAGTACTTGAATACTTTCTCAAAGCATATATTATAAAAAAATAAAAATAGGATATTTGGACAATAGTTTGTCGATACTTCTTGGGAGTTTTTGTTCTCAAATGTTGATACATTTATTATAGTCCAGAAGGATGTTGAATTTGTTATAATATTACATGGTGTTTGTATAAAATTTTAAAAATAATGATAAAAATTAAAACTTTTATGTTAAACTATTGTAATTTTCTCTTTATTGTTGAACTATTATATTAGTAAAATAAATTTCTTTCATGAGAAATGGGTTTAATGCTAGTTATTTAATTGTTGTGATTTACAAGGTTTTTCATTTATAGTAATTTGTATATTATTTTTGCTTACATTTTATGTTAATCCCTTTTTTTAAAAGATTTGACATATTGGCATATCCATATCATAGATCGTATTTTATCTAATAACTTTATTCATGTTTATAGCCCTCAAGGCATGTGTCCAACATTGAAGTGGTGATATTCTTGACTTAGCGACCATTAAAATTTCAGTATATTTTTTTCCTTTTTTTTTTTAATCTGGTCGACACAGTTAGATACAGGTATAGTTTCCATCTACATCTTAAACTTTCTCCAGTAGGATTATATAACAAAATTCTGTATCCATGCTACTTTGGAAGTTGTTTCATACCAACTTTAAATGAAGTAGTTCTATCCTGACCATACACAATATTTCGGCATCTTATTCTTGGTGTATTTTGATTTTTCTTACGATTTTAGCTATTTGATTTGCCCTATTATGATCCTGCAACTCATTTTATTCCTTTTTAGTTGCCTGGGCGTACCGATAATGAGATAAAGAACTACTGGAATACACGAAAGAAGAGATGCCAGCGTGCTGGTTTGCCCCTTTACCCTCCAAATGCATGCCACAATGTCTCCGAGGAAAATGTGCAATGCTCACGTCTCAGCAAGTACAGTTACAGTTATGATCAGCCTCTTGAGCTCCTTCAGGGAAGCTTCCCTGACAGTCCTGATATTATATCTGACAACTTCCAGACAAGTTATGGGGCTTCCTCCTATGCAATGCCATTTGCGGATGCAGCGGGTTTTGGATCCCAGAATTATTCCTTTGCAAATCCAACAGCTAATTGTGTTGAGCAATCTACAGACTCTGAAAAATTTCTCCTTGCCTTACATGGTAGTGTTGCGGATGTTTATCCTACAACCAAACAATTTTTGTTTCAGCCTTCAGGAAGCACACCTCGGAATTGTTTTGGTTCTCTCCATGGTGCTGATCCCAGCAGCCAGAGCCTGGCACCTTTGCTAGGTGCCATCCCTGGCAGCTATGCCCTTCTAAATGATACCTTCTCTACTTATTGTCCCACTCGTGGAACTGCAAAGTTAGAGCTCCCTTCAGACCAATGTGTAGAGACTGATGCCAGTAGCAGGCTTAGCTGCCCAGCCACACCTGTTTCAGTTTATAATGTTCAATCTCCATCAGCAACTGTCTCAGTGCAATCCAATTTTGTTTCACCATGGAAGAGTGGTCCAATGCTTCGACAGGCGCATGTACTGAGCGATGCAGAGAAGGAACCATCTGAGATGAGCTCAATTACTTCTACCATCAAACCCAATGATGTTTTCGAGTGCTCAGGTCTTAGTATCAATGATATGGAGTTGTATTCTACAGCTGTTGCTGATTCATATATGGAATCTCCATCAGCTCTCGTCTCATTGCAATCCAAATGTTTTCCACCATGGAAGAGTAGTCCGGTGCTTCAAGAGGCTCATGTACTGAGCAGTGCAGAAAAAGAACCACCTTTGAAGAGCTCCTCAGTAACTCCTATCGTTAAATCCAGTGATGTGTCAGAGTGTAGTATCAACGGGACAGAATTGTACTCTTCACCTGTTGCATTTGATAGGTATGTCAAATCTCCATCAGCTACTATCCCATTCCAGTCCAGTTGTGTTACACCATGGAAGAATGTTCCATTAAGATCAGTACTTCAAGAGGGGCATGCACCGGGCAATTCAGAGGCAAAATCATCTGAGAAGAGGTCAGTGACTTCTATCATGAAACCCAATAATGTGATCTGCTCTTCAGGGTTAAGTATCAACGACAGAGAGTTTAATTCTAAACCTGTTGTAGCTGATACATATGTGGGATCTCCACCAGCAACTTTCTCGTTGCAATCGAAATATCTTACTTCATGGAAGAGCGATCCAGTTCTGGTAGAGGCAGATGCATTTGATAGTGCAGAGGAAGAACCATCCAAAAAGTTCTGTTAAAAGTGTTCACTGCCAAGTATGAATGACACAGGGTTGGAAGAACTCTTCGATCCAAAATTTCAGTTCTCATGCTTCCATCCGGACTGAGTTCCCGTGCCCTTCCAACGGTGGCAGTTCATTGCATTATCTTCATATTTAAGTTTTGTGGTATCATTGAAAATGGGAAAGAGTTCATGAATTTTTTAGGTCCAGAAAACATTCATTCCGACAATTACATCGTTGATGTTTCCATGTGAATAGAATGTACTCATTGTTCCACAGTATGGTGCAATAAAACAAAGAGGCTCACGGCCTGGAAGTGGTGAGCTTTCTGTTTGGGTGATTGATCCATATTTCTATCTTCCATATTAATCTCTTCGTGCACCTCAAGTACTTTGTGAACAAAAGCTTTATGAAATGAAATCAAAGAAGAAGGAATGTTGTTCATATTCTAATTGAGTATTAACAGATTGAACGAGGAGCCAATTTACCTGATTGACTATTTCCAAAAATGGCACACAATGTTGTGAAGATGATGATGACTGGACAAATGTGTCCCAATTTTCTAGGATATGTTCTTTAGAGGAGGCAGCTACATTGAACTTCTCATAGATTTTATAAAAGTTTGAGTTAAAAATAATTTTAGAAAAAAATAATTGAAGAAAGAGCTGCATATGTGAGAATTGTTCTAATATGAGATTGACCTAAATATTTGATAAATAAAAAAATTATGAACAAAAATACCATGTTGGTTAGGATCAAGAACTCACCTACTTCTACACGGAATCCTCCTTTCAAATATTACAATAGGAAGATATATTCTGATTCAGCATCAAAGATTTTTAATTAGATAGATTGTTAAATAAATTTATAAGTTGATGTGACTAAAATATTTAATCAAATGCCTGAAATAAGGATTAGCATTTTACCAGATTATAATATTTTATGGCATGGAAAAAAGTATTGTTAGATATTATTTTCATAGGAAAAAAAAGGAATATTGAAACTGGCATCGCTTATCGGGTACGGATGTGAGAACCGTGGACCCGAAATAAACCCAGGAAAACAAAACCCTAACTAGCGTTGCTGCAATCCGCAGTCTATAAGAAGGGGATCCCGTGCCGCCGACTCTTCCTCTCCAATCCTCGTCTCCCTTCCTCCGCCCCTCATCGCTGCTCCTCCTGTTCTGGATCCCTAATCGGTTCCTTGTGTTGCTCTCTCTCTATCTCTTTGGTTGTAGTTTGCCTTGAGGGGTAGGGTTTGCAATCTTTGATTTGCTCTGTGGTCTTCGTTCTTTTTCCGGTGTTTCGGTTCGAAGCATATCACCGCATGGTGCTACCCCGGGCTCCTCTGAGGAGCTCCGCTCCCTGGTGACGACGCGAGCCCCAATGCCCGTGCAAGATCGATTAGGCCGCGCTGTGTTGCAGATCGGTTCGCGATCTCCATCGGCTGATCTGTGTCAATGCGTTGGCTAAATAATGCATCTCTTTCATCTTTTCCTTCTCTTTAAGAGTTTGTTTGTTTTGGATCTGAAGATTGTGCCTCTCCTCACCTTCAGTTCTTTGGGGATTTGTTGCCCATAGAGCTTAGTCATGGAGGCAAAGATCGAATACCGGTGTGGTCAACGTGGTGGCATATTCTTCTTCATGAATTTGCCTCTAAAAACTCTCGCCATATGAACCCCTTTTTTCTCTTTATTTCGAAGCAATCGATCCTCATTTGGGCGATGATTACAACTTATCCGCGCTTCTGATTTTTATTCATGAAGAATAACGGAAAATTGGTTGAATTTCTTGATATGAGCCCGATTAATTTCTTTTTTATTCTTACGATGGTTTTCTTCTTGCAAGTATTTGCTTGCTTCATATTAGGTTTTTTGATCCGTTGGCTGTGATGACATATTTTACAGCTTCAAAATGCCAGTTCTGCTTCAGAGAATTCATGATTGAGGAAGCTGATAAAACACTGAGCCTTCTCTGTTTGACATCTATTCCGAATTCTGCTTCTCTGCTGTATGTTTTCTGAGTTCTAGTACTGGCTTCGCTTGCCCATGATGTTGCTCCGTTTTGTGGATGTAGTTGGCTCCAATTCCCTGTTTTGCAGGGAGAATCTGTTTGGTGCTGTTACTCCATATCCCCGGAGTGGCACGCGACCTTCCTGGTTATTTCTATTTGATCGCTAACACCGAATTTACTCGTTGCGGGTAGTAAATATCATAAGAGCTTTCAAAATAATTCGATTATAAAATGTCATTTTAAGACTTCAGATGGTTTTATTGGGTCAATCCTTACACTATATGGACAATGTCTGTGGAGAAGAAAGCCACAAGTGCTACCAACTATAGTCGAGCGTAAAGGGTCATGTATCCAAAATCATTTTTCTTTTAATTGACCCTGAATTGTGAGTTATTCAAAGTCATTTACCCTTGTAGATAACATTTTGGATATAAACATTGTCAAATTTGATCATCAGGTTTTTCTGAAACAGAAGAACGAGTCTTCCTTACTCCAGTAATTTGCTCCGTTAGACTTCTTATTTTAATATTGTTTGTTTCGTTCATCTTGATGAGCTCAAAGTTTCAAAATGTTCTCATAGACCATCATTGACATCTCCCATCCTATGATAATTTTACATAAACAAATTGAACAACAACGTACAAATCACTGATGCTAATGTGTAGCTTTCGTATTCTGCCATATGTAAAGCAACTTAAATGCACCCACATTTGTTGTTCTAAAGCCGAAGTAAACATTCATGTTTGCTTCCGTAGTCTTCTAAAACCGTATACTTTAGATGCAGGTGTCATACCCTAACGAAGAAGATGCTTAGCTCAGGCCCGCTGTTCCCATCTGGGTTGAGCATGTACAGCGTTTCCGAGTCCTTGCTTCCCACCACCTTGTCGAAGTAGGCCCGCATGTACGTCGTCTCTCCTTCGACGGCGTCGGTCATGTGGTCGGGGAGCACGCCTGCGCCCGTGGACACGGTGTAGAGCAGCTGCATTATCTCCAAATCCTTCTCCGAGGGCTCCCGCTTGACGCCGTACCCGATCTTGCGCCCGTTGACGAACGCCGTCCACAGTGGCTCCTCGAGCAGCTTCGTCTTGTCGGCGGCCTTCTTCTCGCACTCCAGCGCGACCCGGAGATGGTCGGAGCCCATCTCCTGCATGAACTTGCCGGTGGGCATGGCAAGCTCGAGGAGGAGGATGGGGACGCCGCGGGGGTTTTCCTGGATGGCGAGGGTGATGCGGGACTTTCGGTGGCCGAAGAGGGTGCCGGTGGTGCGGGTCGCGCCGCTGATGTGGCCGTCGGCCGCGCGGCTGCAGTGGGGGAGGGTCGCATGGAAGCGGCAGGAAGGGGTTAGGATGGGGAAGGACCGGAAGAGGGATCGGATGGCGCGGATGGCCTTGACATTCTTGACGGCCGGTCGCTTCTTCTTGGGCTGGCTAAGGGTGATGGCGGGGCGAGGGGAGGATGGGCTGGAGGCGGACTCGGGGACGACGGCACTGGCCATTGCGGTCATGGAGGACCGCAGCGGGCGCGTCGGTGGGTTCTTGAAGGAGGGAGGCGTGGGATTCACGTCGTCTGCAATGCTCGCTTTGGATGTTTTGATGGAAGATGTGGTCAGAAGAGAGGAGGGTGGGGGTGTTTGATGGTTGCCGATTGGTTTGTGTTAATTTAGGTTATCTTGGGATTTAGGTGGTAGTGGATGGGGGCAACTGTGGCCCATCTTCATTTGAGGGTGCTTGGTATCGTTGGCATCACCTGCCAGCGATCGTCCAATCCTGTCGTGGTGCGTCGTTATCTCTTATAATTTTATTATGCGTCGCGCGACAGCTTCTCGTATATATATATATATATATATATATATACAGATAAAAAAAGAAAAACAATTCAACAAAAAATAAATAATAACAATTTGATGTAAGTGGAGGGGCATGAACACTTTGGTTGTCTGTCATGTATGAAGCATATAAATTCTTTTCGATTTTAATGATACGTATGAATCATTGTGATTGCCTTTGATGGTTATGATCATTAGCACATTAGTACAAAACTTGTTTTCTGAGAAAAAAGAAAAAAAATTAAGTACATGAGACTTGTGATAATGTGGAGTCCAAAGATGATCAATATATGCAGTCCTCTATGTATTGTGTGAGATATCTTTCATTTGATGTAATTGTCCGTCGTCTCTCTGTAAACTAGTATTAGTGATTTGTATTTTGATGGAGGGTCGATTGACTTCTGTCCATTTTCCATCTTTTTATGTGGTGTCATGTAGAACAATCCATATTTGTTTGACTTGTATCAAACATATAATCTTTAATCATGAACCCCTATTTCCATTACAAAATCAATCATAGTCCTACGACTTTTACATTGTTGACATCGATCGGGTCATGCCACATGAATTTAATGTCGAATTTGGAAATGAATAGTCTTTGACAGTGGCTATCAGGGCTAAAATAATCTTTTTCAATTTATTATTCGATTTAATGAGACCAATTATAAATAATCTTTTTATATGTAAGAATGAACTAAAATAATATCGGTTAGTATGAAATCACTCTATACATGTTACTCCCGTATCAATTTGATGGCTTGAGCGAGGCAGAGTCATCTCTATTTTTTCAAATGCATTTTTGGGATCGAAAACAAATAATTCCTTATGACTATGTATACTTAATGACTTATCAATTTATAAATAAAAAAATTACATCTAAAAATATATTACTCGCATTTTGATGATTTCAAAGACTTTCTTCTCCTATTTTACTTTTTAATCCTTGAGTTAATAGAGCTAATAAAAGAATTTTTCATGATTTATGAAAAAAAGGGGCAAATTAGGAGGTAGCTCTCATATTTAGCTTAGTTTTTCATAATTAAAAGATAAATTGATATGGGAATAATGACACCAACATAATGAAAACAAAATTTTCATAGGTAATTGTGTTTTGATGAAAAATGTTTACCTTTATATATTTTTTCTTTTTCTGTCGCAAAAGGCGAAGAAAGGGGGGAGAAATCGGGAAATGCATAATAAGCGGATGGTAAATAATAAAATAATTTTTTTTATTATTTTTAAAGAAATTATAGTAATTAGAGGTTGGGAAAAAAAGAAAAAGAAAAAGGAAGACTGTTAATAGTAAATTTCTTTTATTTTAGCAAAAGTGATTGTGGAGTCTCCGATTTGGGCGTTCAGTGCGAGTGTGTGAGAGAGAAAGGAAGACATGGCGGCGGCGTCGACGAGTGGCAGCAGCCGCGACATAGGCGGCAGCGGAGGAGGGTTGGCGGCAGGGGAGATGGAGGTGGAAGCGTATCGCCGCCTCTTTCCCCTCCCCTTCTACGAGCGCCACCTCCTCGACTCCGTCCGCCCCGACGCCCGCCCTCTTCATCGCGCCCGTGATACTTCCATTGCCCTCGGTTCCTCTCCCTTCTCCTTCTTCTTCTTCTTCTTCTTCTTCTTCTTCTTCTTCTTCTTTTACAGAAAATATGTAGTCCAAAATGTTCTTACTCTGCTGTCGAACTCTCAATCATCCTTGACAGGCCCTGTTGCTTCTGCTGATGGCTCTGCTTTGGTCAAGATTGGCGACACGGTACATGTTCTCTTTCTTCCTCTTTCGTTTTGTCATTTGAGCCAAGAAATTGGTTTTCTGTTTACGTGTACCACCTGCTTGACGAAATGCTTCTGCTGTGCAGACAATGCTAGCAGCGATCAAGCTTGAGGTCATGACCCCATCTGCTGATGCGCCTGATGAGGGCTCTTTAGGTCTGTCCAATGGTTATTCTCTCCAGGGGTTTATTGCTTCGCAGTTTTATCTTTGTTTTCTAAATAATATTAAGTATCGTGTAATGCTTTATGTGCAGCTATTGAGTTCCACATGCCACCAATTTGTTCGCCGATTGTTAGGCCTGGGAGACCAGCGGAGGTAGCTCCTGTAGTTTCAAAGCAATTGTCAGATGTTATAATGAGGTAATCCCATCTTTTCAGTCAGCTCTTAGGTATAGCACCGTTGAGTTGTCTAATTTTCCTTTTACTACCAAAAAACTCAGTGTCTAAAATTCATTCCTTTTGCAACTGCAAATTATTGAAACAGTTGCTATGTACTTATGGGTCAAGAAGACATGACCCTTTGAGTCATCATCTACAATTGTTATTGATACTTTGTTTTGAATTTTTTGCCCCCTTTTCTTTTATTTTGAATGAAGAAGATTGTTTTTCGGTTAACACCATTAAAAAATTATAGAGATGATGAATTTCTTATCTTTGAATTTTTTTAACATGTATCATGTGGGAGAGAAAGGTGGGTGACAAAATGCTTTTGTGTTTGATCAAGTTGTCACTACCATTTAATGCTGAAAATGGGCCAAGCTATTCTCAAGTTGACCCCAGGTGCTAGTAAGACTACATAGTAACTGTTATCTAGGTTCGACTATTCTCTCTACATGGAAATCTACTATGACGAGATTTAGATTGGCTGTCTCTTGGTTTCAGATATGAAAGGCAACAAGTCAAGTAGCAGCTAATTTCACCTGAGCCCGAATTTAACTGTGTTATCAGAACATGAACCATGTACCTACTTTACTACTTGTTCAGCATCAGAAACTAAATCTCCTGCTTAAGGGTTGGTTTGGTTTTATGGATCAAATCGGATTAGTTGGTTGCTGAAGTTAATTTGACACTTTTTTTTTTGGGAGAAAAGTAGTAAATCAAGTGGAGAAGCCCAATTAAAGACATGGCAGACTTATGATGAAATTAACTTTACCTAAATAGTTTTATATGGTGAAGGTTTTATACCCTAAAAAAACCATTGAGAAAAAAGGCTAAGGTGACATTAAGTTAGAGTTTAAGTTGTTTTCTGCAGCTCATAGGGTCACAGTAGGCTAATGGAGAATTGAAGTGGTCTCAACAAGTTTACATATTTCTTTTAGAACCATAAAATGTAAATTCATCACATCTTATCCTTAATGACAAGCTTCCACACAGTTAGGCTGTGTTAATTTTGCCATATGTGAATATGTGTTCAATATTTTATCTGTGCAAAATGTTGAGAAGCTTTACCATTGTATGGACATGCTTTTGTTTGTTCCTTTTATAAAATGGCAAACTTGGTTCTATTTTATTTATTTATTTATTCAGTAATTGTAGTATTATAATTGTGGTTGCGCTTGACTAAAATGAGATGTATGAACTGTGCAGTGAAGCACTTCCGGTGACATCTTTTTTAGTTGTTTTCTTGATACTATAGAGATCCTCTGAACAAATGCTGGGCGTCAACTAGCAGTTGAGGATGCTAAAAAATTGCCCCACCTTACCTGCTATTTGTCCCTTTCACCTTAGTCAACAACGAGTCATACTTTGATAATCTTTACTATACATGGTCTCTAAAATGCTGCATAGTCTCTTTACCTTTTAGATGTTAATCTCCAGAGTCCTGCATCTTGACCTAAGAAGTCCCTCAATTGTCCTTTGTCACTGGAAGACCCTGTGAATCTGTATAAGAAATATTTTTCACCTCACTACTTTTACTGTTTAATCCATTATTTTTTCTAATGCTGCTTATAGATTTTGTATGGGTTGTTTGAGTTGTTGCAGTTCTGGGATGATAAATTTAAAGGAGCTTTCTTTGATTACTGGAAAAGCTGCATGGATGGCCTATCTGGTATGGTCTTTCTATTAATATTTTAATATGTCTCTGGATGATGCTTATTTTGCGTATTTATATAATTCTGTATGCATAAAGACAAAGGATGCTGTACATGCTGGCTCTGATTCATTTTAAAATTACGTTTACAAGTTTAAAGTTTGATAATATGTCCTAAGTGCTTCTCTTTCAATTTAATATGAGCTGCATGTTCTTTTTTCCTTTTTGCAGGATATTTATTGTCTCAACGCTGATGGCTCTCTATTTGATGCCGCACTACTTTCTGCAATTGCTGCATTCTCTCACTGTAAAGTCTCTTTTGATTTCAATAATGAATCAATTCTCATTCTGTAAGCCTTGAGGGTGTATTTGAGAAACATCTCTTTGGATATTTTTTCTCCTTAGCTTCTTTTTTGTTTTATTTTTAATTTAATTTAATTTTCTTTTGTCCATATTTCATGTTCTAGTGAAATAAGATTGCAACTCTGCAATTTTGCCTTACATAAGATTTTCAATTTACATAGACGTTGCAAATGACATGCACACTTTATTGTGGCAATCAATGGGCCTAATTTAAGGAAGCATGTTCTAGTTTAGGTGCAGAATTGCATTATCTTCTTATATGTATCTTATTTTCTTAGTGTATAATTTAGTGCTCTAAAAATTCTGATTTGCTTTGGTCAAAACATGTCAAACTTTATTTTAAACAAATTATTTGGGAAACCTTATATGTTGAGTATCTGATAGTTTGTTTCATGTTACGTTATGCCTATTTATCTTCTTCAGCCATCTATAAGCTCCATATGACATTTTTTTTGTTGCTCTTATGTTTATTTATCTTCTTTAGCCATGTATAAGTTTCATATGGCACTTTGTTGAAAATTTTCATGTTGATCTCATTCAAAAAGCACTTCTTGTTTGTTGCTTGTTGTTCTCTGTTGTGTTTTAAACTTTGTATCAATTTTTTTCATCTCTTTGATAGTAGTGTATACTTGATTTTGAGTCCTACGTAATAAACTGTTAGAGGATTTTAAAAAAAATTTAATAACATCTTTCACATTTTCCAAATATGTACTTTATACTGGATTTTGATGATTAATAATATAAATCCTGTTGTTCTTCAGTGCAAATCCCCCTTGTTTCTCTCAGTGATGATGGAAGAGTAGTTGCAGTTTCTGGGGATCTACTGGAAGATGAATCAACACCAGAATTGGTTAATAAAGAGAGGAAGCTTTTGCTGCACAGTATCCCATTTTCTCTAACATGCATACTTCACAAAAAGTACATCTTGGCAGACCCAACTGCTGAGGAAGAGTCAATTATGGAAACTTCTATAACTGTAGTTTTGGATTCTTCAGAGCGGCTGGTGTCGATCTATAAGCCGGGGGGACCAGTTCTTGCCCACACATCAACTGTTAAGGTTCGTCGCAATACCATTTTTTGCAAAGCTACTAGGTAAATGACAATGGAAATGTTATTGCTAAGTGAGATGTATAAACTTCTTAACTTCTTAAACATCTTAATGATGTCTTTGATGAGATATTGATGAGATTTAATTTTACAAGCGAAAGTTTTTGTGATGTGCATTTCCCATGGATGTTTCATAATTTTAGTTAACACAAAGCGTTATTGTAAAGTACAGCTAATTGATTATACATTAATCTTAAACAATATCCAAAGTCTTTTCATTTGCAAGGGTAAAATTCCATAGATTGATTGTCTTCATATTCCACATTGGTAGAAGTCTTGTGCATTAGACAACCTGTTTCTTTTTTGTTTTTGTCTTAAAAAATGTTATGATTCGGTTCATTTGCTTATATCAGTAAGAGTTTATGGTTGTTTAATGGCTTAGCACTTAGGTCTCACAGTTTCTGATTTAATTAATTTTTTTCCTTGTGTTGTCGCATTATACATCACTTTGGGAGAGTGTGATGGAAGACCAGTAAAGGCATATGCTAGAGACTATTCTTGTCTCTTTGTTTAAATATAATGTGTTACTTATTGAGAACAGAGTCCATGAAGGTTACTAACACATTTTGTTATTTGTAGGATTGCATCGTTCTCACAAAACATAGAATGAAGGAGCTGCAGAATATATTAGAGGAATCCCTTTCTGCCATGGAGGTAGTCTAGCTCTTGTTTGTTGGAGCAAGCTGTCATTTGATGTCTATGGGTGTCATCAGGTAATACTGATCCAGATTCGTCTGTGGTTTTTCTCCCGTTCACTATGACATCACCTGTTCCTTTTTGACCAATTAGATGAAACATAGGATTTGGGTAGAAACTGTTGATTCATGCACTGATCTTTCTTTTCCATATCACTTGTCAACTATAACCACTGGGTTTGCTGGATTTTTTATGGTTAAACTATAATGACAACCTTGATGGAATAAACTATAATGATTATCTGCTTTCTTAATTTTTTAAATTTGTTTTCCCTTTCGCATTATTAATTTTTAAAATTTCAAAGTTTAAGATTAGAATATGAATCTTTTCAATTTCCTCATTGATATTATACAAGAAATAACGAAAGTGTCTAGTCTTTCTTGTGGAAGTGATACAACTTGCATCTGCTGTTCCACAGGCATAAAAATTTGCGCTCAGTTCTGTTGGTCTTCGAGAATCTGATTTAGATTCTGGTCCAAAATCATGTACTCAATGCTCTACTGCTTGCAATGTATGATCGAGATCTGAAAATTGAGAGTGGGAAAGAAAAGGCATGCCTAGAATCAGATGGACATTTAGCCGAAATGATTAATCTGAGCGGATGGAAACAATGGATGCATAGTTTCTCTTCCTCCTTTTGCTCTGTTGCCATGATTTCGACTGGAGTAAGCTGAGGGTATTACTATTCTTTACCAATTCGAGTTACTTTTTTATTTTTTGTCTGACCTAAGATCTGCATCTGGTGCATAGCTTTTGGACTTTAATACCTAATGATAGGGATGAAACAAGAAAAACTGCAACAAGGCCATGAGTGCATGAAGAACTTGTGGTTTAGGTTTTTGTTTGTCTTATATGAGTTTACTCTTCCTTCACGTTTTAGTTTCTGTTGTCTGTTAAAGAAGGATGAAGACATATTGCTTTATAGGAAAATAGTGTATCTATCATAATTGGAAAAAAAAGAAGAGAATAATAGTATAACTAGATGCCTCCTTCATAAACTCAAATCTATTAAAATTTCAATTTGTTATTTTTCAGCAACATTCTTAACTATCAAATATGTTCCAATCAATTGAGATGGAACTTAATCAATCAGAAAATGACTAAACAAGCTCATGAGATTTGCAACGTGGACATTTCCTTAATTGGTATGATTAGTTGATAAGTTGAATTGTGGTTGTCACCTCAGATCCAATGTTGAGCTTGTCGCAGGTAGATTGGATGTTGGGAAGATGAGAGAGAGATTTGATATAAGATAATAAGGAATTTTATTTAAAGGATTTGGGGATAGCAAGGAGTATTTTGTTGTGCTTTCTAGCCATCTTTCTGTTCTATAAGCAACGGGGTCTTAGTGATTACCTTCAATAAACAGTTACCCAAGTCATCATATCCGACCATTAAATGTTGTGGTTACAAGGTAAGTGGGAATAGCTCGTCGTTATTTCGGCTGAGTAGACCATCTTGTTGGTGTGAGTCATCGTATCGTCCTCGTTGGTACTGAGTCATCATCCCTGTAGGACCATGATGACTTGGTAATCTTATGAATGGATATATGATGTGACCATCATGTTGCCTATGTTTCAAGGCCCTCGTATCATCTATCCCATCATGTTTTAACACATGGATTTGGTCGAGACACGATGCTTTGTGTGGTGGGCCATCCAGCCACATCATCCATTGTGTCTCAGGATGTATTGACTTTAGGTTGTTTAGTAGTCGCTTTATGGCTGACCTTGATTGCATCGTTACTAAATGATGCATCGTGGTTATCTTTATGGATGTATTGACATTTCATGGTTGAATTTGTCTATGTCACTATTAGAAGATTGATTGTGACATCGTCGATGGACACTTTACGATGTGAATCAGTTATGTCATCGTTAGGGGATGCTTTATGATTGAATTCAGTTGCATCATCATCATTATGGGATGCTTTATGGTTGGATTCGATCGTGGTCGAACGATGCTTTGTGAAATAAGTTAATCATATTGCTTGTATATTTTAGTTTGGTGCATTGTGTGACCCAAGGTTCGCTGTATCGTACCGTACCGGCGTTTCGATTTGGGCTCGGTACGGTACGATACCGGTGTACCGGGTGGTACATCAGGGCGTATCGAGCGGTACATCCTGGTATGCCGAATATTTTTTTTTTATTTTTTCATACTGTAGCAGTGCTACAGTATAGTACTATAGCATTGTAGCGATACCGGGCGGTCCACGTACCGGTAACTTGTCGGACCGGTACACACCGTCCGATACGGGCGATACGCTTCGGTACGACAGACCTTGGTGAGCTATCAACTTTGGTCTCTTTTGGGGTTCGACGTAATAGGTGTTGCGACATTCCAGATTTGCTCATGCGATTCGTTGCTATAGCTTTGATTTTCTTTTGACATATCACCATGGTTATATCATTTAATTTGATTTGATTTGATTTTTTAATGATAGTCAAGGAGTGTCAAGGTCTTGATGTTATCGTGATGCTAACTCCATTGCATTCGTGTTACATCTTTTGCTCAAGGTCTAGAGTTAGTAAGTTTCTTATCAGATTTCTTTTGTGACTCGATGTGATTATTTCCAATTAGGAGCAAGTTTTTTTTCTGGATAGGATCATTCATATTGGACTTTGGTATAACCAAATCTCCTATTTTTAAGAATTGATGATAGACTTTCTAAATATAATGTTTGTTCATGATGCACTTATAAGTTAAGTTTTATAGATGTATTCTCACTCGTGTTTAATCAATTAGGTCAAGGTTTGCCCTTAGTTCATGATCGTCCAACACTTTTTTATTGTAATTTCATATTTAAATTGTCAAGAGGATAACCTTAGAGGGAATAAGTATCTTGTTTTTATAGGCAAAATCGAAAGGAAATTATCCAACTAAAGTTATAGGAGTAGATCAGTAACTTGAGAGGATGCTTGGGAGTTCATCCGCCCATGTTCCTTTGGAATCAACCATCATTTTCTTTAGTCCTAGGATAGCCTAATCGATGACTTCGATCTTATTGCTGGATTCAAGGTATGCAATAGAGTTGAAACATAGTGATATGGAGTTATAAAATTCTTTGAATATGATATTATTGAAATATATCTCATTGTCGATGATAAAGGTTTTTGGAACATTGAATCAAGAGATTATGTTTTTCTAGATGAACCCCTCTACCTATCTTTCTATTAAAACCATAAGGAATTTGCCCTATACCCATTTGTTAAAATAATCTAACCCAACTATCAAGAATTTTTGTAATCCAAAAGTTAGAGGGAAGAGATCAAGAATATCTAATCCTCGTTATATAAGATGCCAAGCGCAATCAATTGTGGTGAGCTCTACGATTAGCGGTCATTAGATTTGAGCATTCCATTAACATTGGTTGCATCACTATACATATATTCTATGGTATCCTTTCGAATGGTTGATCAATAGTAGTTTTGCAAGAGATTCTTGTAAGTCGACAAAGGCCTATAAGCTAACGAGATTTGTCATATGAATATTTCCTTAACTAGTTATGATCAGGTTTTTCATGTAGGATCATAATTACTTGATGGCTAGATTATGGTTGTTGTTCGACACATGGGGGGTTTAGATCCAACTCGGTTTGACTTCTAAGCTTGTGATAGGTTAGATGTTGTGAAGATGAGAGATTTGACGGAAGACCCTACGAAAACTGTATTAGGTACATGCCCAACAAAGACCTCTCCGATATTTAAGTTAGTAGAGAATTTTGAAGGAATTGAGAGATAGCCTAGAGTATTTTCTTAGATTAAAACGATTATTGAATTAGAGTCGTAATTAACTTCACAAATGATTACACAAAATATTCAACCATTATTAAACTAGGATGTCATATGTCGAATCATCGGATGTTATAGTTATGAAGTAACAATTCACGTTGGAGATGAGGATAACTAATTTTTGTTCGAACCGAGTAGGTCATTTTGTCGACATAAGTAATCAAGCTTTGAAGGATGATAACTTAGTCATCATATTGTTCGAGCAAGGGGCTAAAAGACGAAGAGACCATCATAAAAAGGATTATGCTTAAATATGAGGACGTAAGTTTTGACAAACAAAGTCAATCTAATCTAATTACTATTCATATTAAAAATCTTGAATCGAACAAAAAATTATGATATTTTAAAATTTATTAAGATATAATATTATAAATAAAAAACTAAAATTGTGATGAAATATTTCATCAAAGATTATTTAACTATTGATATTAAAAAGAACATGTCTCTTAAGATTATTTGATTCGTAGTCATTGGCACGTCGCTCATTTGTATCCCATCCTATTTATGGCATTGCCATAAATTGTCACACAACATATTGTCACGGAGGCACCACTCAGCCCTCACAGATCTTTGTAATCAGAATTAAATGTATGTTTTAATTAATATTAAAAAAATATTAAAAATATAATTAAAATAAATGTGATGTTAAAGTATAATATATATATATATGATAATGTACAAATAGTTATATAAGTAAAGGAAGAGAATGACAAGAACAACCGGCGAGAGAAAAAGGGTCGTGAGAATAGATATAATAGATTTTTTTTCTCTTCCATCCTCATAAGTGATGAAAATGACTTAAAACAATCTCGAACAATTCATTTTATCTTTCACAATAAATAAAGGGTTAAGGATCTTTTTAAGCTCAAATAATCAAATTAATATACCGAATCAATTAATATATAAACCCCTAATATTGCTATTATTAAGAGCACCTAACTCTTGCACCTGACCTCATTAAGGAGTTGGTACCAACATAAAATCCCATAAAAAGGTCTTGATTCGGGACTCTCTTTCCAACAAGTTTTGCCCATAAGTCATATCACGTAGCACACCCTTATATATATATATATATATATATATATATATATATATATATATATATATATATATATATATATATATATATATATATATATATATATATATA